TTTATCCTCCCAGACGAATCTGGTACCAATTTACCGTCCCCGGAGGGTAGAAGGCTTGGTTGGCCTGGGCGGGTGTCGACCTGGGATTCGAACCCAGGACCGCGCGAGTGGTAAGCGCGCCACTTGTCACTACACTACCTCCGCCTAAAATTTGTAGCTATACGGGTTACAAAATATCAGCATAAGCTAAAAATTGATCGAAGTTTCAAAGAAAGCAACGCAGCCGCTGCGGAAATTGTTGCTCCAAAAAACGCTATAACTGAGTGACGAAAACAATGAAACACTTTTAACGATCGATGGAGTTCCGTGGCAAACTCTTTATGTTAGCATCATAGATTACCCACCACATCGCCTCCAACTAAATAGCACTGAATCTGGGCCTTTGAAGTCCCTTAATGAGAAATTTCAAAAACTCTCCAACAATTCGGCAAAAAAAATTACATATCCAATCGAAGCATGCATCGGGACTACGCGCTCTACGTGCTATTCAATAATCTAAAAAAGTATTTTTGCTGAAAAGTCCTCTGGCATGGTTATTCAGCTTCCCTGGCTATGAATGTGACAATCATTTTTTTCGAAGCGGCGCCATTCACGCCACAACTTGTTTCACCAAAATCGTTATAAACTCGCGAGCAAAGGTACTCGAAGTCCCGATCATCACTTCCACCTTTATTTTTAGCACCGCCAAATGTCATGGTCAAGACGGTTTCCAGAGGAAAAAAAGTCACGGCTATGAATGGCGCGAACGCCAAAAATGAGCATCCTAATCGTAACCAAGGCACCGGATGACGCTTATGGCCTGAGTCTGACGCGGAGAAAACGATGATTTGAGATGCTGGGGTTGTAAGTGCAAGTGTCAACTACTGATTGTATAGACAATCACGAGCGAGCCGTGAGAGTACTCCTACAACGAAATCCGATATTTCAAAACCCGGTTCTAAACTAAATGGCAGGACAGATCCCCTATACCGTTCTAGGCAGAATGGTTGGCACCAGTCATCTGTAGGCTAGACTGCATTCATACTTTGCGTCAACACACGCCAGCGCACGGCCGCGTCCGAGTATTTCGAGCGCCAGGACCAGCGATTAGGAAAGTGTGGGTATCGATCTTGTCCTAGTCGCTCGAAACGCTGCTGCACGCTAGCGCGCGCACGCTCGAAGCGCTGGCGTACGCTGATGCAAAGTATGAACGCAGCCCTACCACCACATCCCTTTGGGAGCAGCCTTCATATAAATACTTCGGCCATCGCTTGTCACTAGAAACCTTCGGCTTGTTATTCCAGAATATTTGGGAACTACTTATGCAATGGCTTAAGGCAACTGGTTACTGTTTTCATGGGGACCTTAGCTCGTTTTCAGTTAGCGATTTGTGAGATTAGGAGAAAAGAATGCACGCCAAAGGAAAGCATGAGCATCTGGCGAATTGGGAACATAGGAGGTTTGGAGAAAGCAAGCTAATGGAAAGCATGCGTTATCGATCTAGCGAGTTAGGAATCGATCGATGCCGTGGTCTCCTTTGGCGCGCATTCTCCTAATCTCCTATACCCACATTCTCCCGATTCACAAACTAAGAACGTGGTACTACGTGAAATACAAATAGTGAAAAATGAGCTGAATAGCGGGTAGAATCTCATATAAATATAGCGCGAGTTGAACTGACAAGAAAACAGTCCTTACTTGCTTGACGAATCCACGACGGAATGTCGGTGCAGAAGAAGCGGCGGCCGGAGGCGGTGCAGGAGCAGGAGTTACGTTGTCAGCCATGAAACCCGAGTCAGAAGCGAGAACCTGGTCCTCGTTGCTAGAACTACCCTGAAAACTGGAATGATAGACCTGAGAAGATCCAGTTTACAATTAGGCACGCGATTTCATTGTTGAGTGAGTTGCACTAGCTTCTGGAAACTGATATTACTAGCAGTTTCCACTGCTTCACTCACCAGAAAAACTCCTAGCCAGTTTCAAGGAAGGAACAGGCCACTAAAAGATACATAACTAACAGACAAAGGTAGACAGTACCCTCCTAGGAACTTAGCCCTACCAGTTTCCCAGAATAAGGCACTTAAAGATGACATTTGGGTAAAATCTGGAACCATTCAGAAAACTACGCAGTCTCTTGGAAAATGTGAATCCACCGTAGTCCTTACCTCACCGAACTACAAGCGAAATTGCTAGTGGCGGTCCCGCCACTATTTCCTTGTCTACCTAATTTTTCATCGAATAGAGCACGGAATCTCCACGAGAATTTCTCCTTTTGGGAAGACTTGGATGAAAAATGCCCATTGTTTTATTTGGAAAGGAGGAAAGATTGCATTGAAGAGTACCAGTAATTTATAACTACTAAGTGGTCCCCATAACTG